GGTACTCATAGACTTAGATGGGTACCCATAGACTTAGCTGGTACCCATAGACTTAGATGATGCCCATAGACTTAGATGGGTACGCATAGACTTAGATGATACCCATAGACTTAGATGATACCCAGAGACTTAGATGGGTGCCCATAGACTTATATGATACCCATAGACTCAGATGATACCCATAGACTCAGATGGGTACCCATAGATACAGATGGGTACCCATTGACTTAGATGATACCCATAGACTCAGATGGGTACCCATAGACTTAGATGATACCCATAGACTTAGATGGGTACCCATAGACTTAGATGGTACCATAGACTCAGATGGGTACCCATAGACTTAGATGATACCCATAGACTTAGATGATACCCATAGACTTAGATGATACCCATAGACTCAGATGGTACCCATAGACTCAGATGGGTACCCATAGACTTAGATGAACCCATAGACTTAGATGATACCGATAGACTAAGATGATACCCATAGACTCAGATGGGTACCCATAAACTCAGATGGGTACCAATATACTTAGATGATACCCATAGACTTAGATGATACCCATAGACTCAGATGGGTTCCCATAGACTCAGATGGGTACCCATAGACTTAGATGGTACCCATTCACTTAGATGGGTACCCATAGACGTAGATGGTACCCATAGACTCAGATGATACCCATAGACTCAGATGAGTACCCATAGACTTAGATGGGTACCTATAGCCTTAGATGATACCCATAGACTCATATGGGTACCCATAGAATTAGATGATACCCATAGACTCAGATGGGTACCCATAGACTTAGATGATACCCATAGACTTAGATGATACCCATAGACTTACCTGGGTACTCATAGACTTAGATGGGTACCCATAGACTTAGCTGGTACCCATAGACTTAGATGATGCCCATAGACTTAGATGGGTACGCATAGACTTAGATGATACCCATAGACTTAGATGATACCCATAGACTTAGATGATACCCATAGACTCAGATGGTACCCATAGACTTAGATGGGTACCCATAGACTTAGATGGGTACCCATAGACTTAGATGATACCCATAGACTCAAATGGTACCCATAGACCTAGATGGTACCCATAGACTTAGATGATACCCAGATACTTAGATGGGTGCCCATAGACTTATATGATACCCATAGACTCAGATGATACCCATAGACTCAGATGGGTACCCATAGACTCAGATGGGTACCCATTGACTTAGATGATACCCATAGACTCAGATGGGTTCCGATAGACTTAGATGATACCCATAGACTTAGATGGGTACCCATAGACTTAGATGGTACCATTGACTCAGATGGGTACCCATAGACTTAGATGATACCCATAGACTTAGCTGGGTACTCATAGACTTAGCTGGTACCCATAGACTTAGATGATACACATAGACTTAGATGGGTACGCATAGACTTTGATGATACACATAGACTTAGATGATACCCATAGACTTAGATGATACCCATAGACTCAGATGGACCAATAGACTTAGATGAGTACCCATAGACTTAGATGATGCCCATAGACTCAGATGGTACCCATAGACTTAGATGGTACCCATAGACTTAGATGGTACCCATAGACTTAGCTGGATACCCATAGACTTATATGATACCCATAGACTCCGATGATACCCATAGACTCAGATGGGTACCCATAGACTCAGATGGGTACCCATAGACTTAGATGATACCCATAGACTCAGATGGGTACCCATAGACTTAGATGATACCCATAGACTTAGATGGGTACCCATAGACTTAGATGGTACCATAGACTCAGATGGGTACCCATAGACTTAGATGATACCCATAGACTTAGATGATACCCATAGACTTAGATGATACCCATAGACTCAGATGGTACCCATAGACTCAGATGGGTACCCATAGACTTAGATGATACCCATAGACTTAGATGATACCCATAAACTCAGATGATACCCATAGACTTAGATGATACCCATCGACTCAGATGATACCCATAGACTTAGATGATACCCATAGACTCAGATAGTACCCATAGACTCAGAAGGGTACCCATAGACTTAGATGATACCCATACACTTAGATGATACCCATAGACTCAGATGGAACCCATAGACTCATATGGGTACCCAACATAGACTTAGATGGTACCCATAGACTTAGATGATACCCATAGACTTACATGATACCCATAGACTTAGATGATACCCATAGACTCAGATGGGTACCCATAGACTTAGATGATACCCATAGACTCAGATGGAACCCATAGACTCATATGGGTACCCAACATAGACTTAGATGATACCCATAGACTTAGATGGGTACCCATAGACTTAGATGATACCCATAGACTTACATGATACCCATAGACTTAGGTGATACCCATAGACTCAGATGGGTACCCATAGACTTAGATGATACCCATAGACAGATGGGTACAAATAGACTTAGATGATACAACTAGACTTAGATGATACACATAGACTTAGATGATACCCATAGACTCAGATGGGTATCCATAGACTTAGATGATACCCATAGACTCAGATGATACCCAAAGACTTAGATGGGTACCCATAGACTTAGATAGGTACCCATAGTCTTAGATGATACCCATAGACTGAGATGGGTACCCATAGTCTCAGATGGGTACCCATAGACTTAGATAATACCCATAGACTCAGATCGGTACCCATAGACTTAGATGATACCCATAGACTTAGATGATACCCATAGACTTAGATGATACCCATAGACTTAGATAATACCCATAGACTCAGATGGGTACACATAGACTTAGATGATACCCATAGACTCAGATGGGTACCCATAGACTCAGATGATACCCATAGACTCAGATGATACCCAAAGACTTAGATGGGTACCCATAGACTTAGATAGGTACCCATAGTCTTTGATGATACCCATAGACTGAGATGGGTACCCATAGTCTCAGATGGGTACCCATAGACTTAGATAATACCCATAGACTCAGATGGGTACCCATAGACTTAGATGATACCCATAGACTTAGATGATACCCATAGACTTAGATGATACCCATAGACTTAGATAATACCCATAGACTCAGATGGGTACACATAGACTTAGATGATACCCATAGACTCAGATGGGTACCCATAGACTCAGATGATACCCATAGACTCAGATGATACCCAAAGACTTAGATGGGTACCCATAGACTTAGATAGGTACCCATAGTCTTTGATGATACCCATAGACTGAGATGGGTACCCATAGTCTCAGATGGGTACCCATAGACTTAGATAATACCCATAGACTCAGATGGGTACCCATAGACTTAGATGATACCCATAGACTTAGATGATGCCCAGAGACTTAGATGATACCCATAGACTTAGATAATACCAATAGACTCAGATGGGTACACATAGACTTAGATGATACCCATAGACTTAGATGATACCCATAGACTTAGATGATACCCATAGACTCATATGGTACGCATAGACTCAGATGGTACCCATAGACTTAGATGATACCCATAGACTCAGATGGTACCCATAGACTCAGATGGGAACCCATAGACTTAGATGATACCCATAGACTCAGATGATACCCATAGACTTAGATGGGTACCCATAGACTTAGATGATACCCATAGACTTAGATGATACCCATAGACTCAGATGATACCATAGACTTAGATGGGTACCCATAGACTCAGATGATACCCATAGACTTAGATGATACCCATAGACTTAGATGATACCCATAGACTCAGATGATACCCATAGACTCAGATGATACCCATAGACTCAGATGGTTACCCATAGACTCAGATGGGTACCCATAGACTTAGATGATACCCATAGACTTAGATGGGTACCCATAGACTTAGATGGTACCCATAGACTCAGATGATACCCATTGACTTAGATGGGTACCCATAGACTCAGATGAGTACCCATAGACTTAAATGGATACCTATAGACTCAGATGATACCCATAGACTCAGAGAGGTACTCATAGACTTAGATGATACCCATAGACTCAGATGATACCCATAGACCTAGATGATACCCGTAGACTCAGATGGGTACCCATAGACATAGATGATACCCATAGACTTAGCTGGTACCCATAGACTTAGATGATACCCAGAGACTTAGATGATACCCATAGACTTAGATGATACCCATAGACTCAGATGGGTACCCATAGACTCAGATGGGTACCCATAGACTCAGATGATACCCATAGACTTAGATGGGACCCATAGACTTAGATGATACCCATAGACTCAGATGGGTACCCATAGACTTAGATGATACCCATAGACTTAGATAGGTACCCATAGACTTAGATGATACCCACAGACTTAGATAGGTACCCATAGACTTAGATGATACCCATAGACTTAGATGATACCCATAGACATAGATGGTACCCATAGACTTAGATAGGTACCCATAGACTTAGATGACACCCATAGACTTAGATGGGTACCCATAGACTTAGATGGGACCCATAGACTCAGATGTTGTGTGTAGTACATAGACATTGCTGCTACTAATCGCTAGCTAACAGCACTTCCCCTATATCCCTTCTAGAGCGTACCTGGGGGAGTTTTGTCTGTGTGTGGTGCGTGTAGTACATAGACACTGCTGCTGCTACTCGCTAGCTAACAGCACTTGCCCCTACAGCCCTGCTAGAGGCTACCTGGGGGAGCTTTGTCTGTGTGTGGTGCGTGTAGTACATAGACACTGCTGCTGCTACTCGCTAGCTAACAACACTTGCCCCTACAGCCCTGCTAGAGGCTACCTGGGGGAGCTTTGTCTGTGTGTGGTGTGTGTAGTACATAGACACTGCTGCTGCTACTCGCTAGCTAACAGCACTTGCCCCTGCAGCCCTGCTGGAGGCTACCTGGGTGAGCTTTGTCTGTGTGTGTGGTGTGTGTAGTACATAGACACTGCTGCTGCTACTCGCTAGCTAACAGCACTTGCCCCTGCAGCCCTGCTGGAGGCTACCTGGGGGAGCTTTGTCTGTGTGTGGCGAGCTTCCTCTCGCCCCTCTGTCTTCTCTCACCGTCCCTGTGTTTGGTTTCTGCTGTCAAATGTCGTGCGCGCTGCCTGGGGACTCAAGGTGCAATCAGCAGCAGCAGCAGCAGCATCAGCAGCAGCATCAGCAGCAGCAGCAGCATCAGCAGTAGTAGTAGTAACATCATCATCAGTAGTTGTAGTATCATCATCATCAGTAGTTGTAGTATCAGCAGTAGTTTCATCATCAGTGGTAGTAGTAGTATCAGCAGTAGTATCATCATCAGCAGTAGTATCATCAGCATCATCATCATCAGCAGCAGCAGCCACGGATATTCATGTCAACTCGAGTCCAGGGGGCGACCTGAAATTATCATCAGTTTGGTGAGTTACACACAGACACACACACAGACACACACACACAGACACACACACAGACACACACAGACACACACAGACACACACACACAGACAAACACACACACATAGACACACACCACAGACACACACATAGACACACAGACACACACAGGTACACACACACATAGACACACACACACCACAGACACACACATAGACACACACACAGATACACACACACAGGTACACACACACAGACACACACAGACACACACAAACACACACACATAGACACACACGCACACACACCATATACACAGACACACACACATAGACACACACAGACACACACAGACACACACACAGACACACACAGACACAGACACAGGTACACACACAGACACACACACACAGACACACACACAGACACACACACAGACAGACACACACACATAGACACACACACCACACACACAGACACACACAACACACACACACAGACACACACAGACACACACACAGGTACACACACAGACAAACACACACACACACAGACACACACAACACACACACACACAGACACACACCACACACACAGACACCCAGACCCATACAGACACCCATAGAGACCCACAGACACCCACAGATATCCAAACCCATAGAGACCCACAGACACCCACAGACACCCAGACCCATAGAGACCCACAGACACCCAGACCCATAGGGACACCCACAGAGACACCCACAGACACCCACAGACACCCAGACCTATAGGGACACCCACAGAGACACCCACAGACACCCACAGACACCCAGACCCATAGGGACACCCACAGAGACACCCAGAGACACCCAGACCCATAGAGTCCCACAGACACCCACAGAGACCCACAGACACCCACAGACACCCAGACCCATAGACACACACAGACACCCAGACCCATAGAGACCCACAGACACCCACAGAGACACCCAGAGACACCCAGAGACACCCAGACCCATAGAGACCCGCAGACACCCACAGAGACACCCACAGACCCACAGATTAGCGCGTTTGGCTACGTAAGGTGCTAAAAAAGTTCAACATAAGCACACTGGTTAGTGGGTGGGTGGATTGGTGGGTGGGTGGATTGGTGGGTAGGTTGGTGGGTGGGTTCGTGGTTGGGTGGATGGATTGGTGGGTGAGTTGCATTGGATGGGTTGGTGGGTGGGTGAGTGGTTGGGTGAGTGAGTAGGTGCGTGGGTGGGTGAGTGAGTGAGTGGGTGAGTGAGTGGATGAGTGAGTGGGTGAGTGAGTGGATGAGTGAGTGGATGAGTGAGTGGGTGAGTGAGTGGGTGGGAGAGTGAGTGAGTGGGTGAGTCAGTGGGTGAGTGAGTGGGTGAGTGGGTGAGTGAGTGAGTGGGTGGGTGAGTGGGTGAGTGAGTGTGTGGGTGGGTGAGCGAGTGAGTGGGTGAGTGGGTGAGTGAGTGGGTGAGTGAGTGGATGAGTGAGTGGATGAGTGAGTGGGTGAGTGAGTGGGTGAGTGAGTGGGTGGGTGAGTGAGTGAGTGTGTGGGTGGGAGAGTGAGTGAGTGGGTGAGTGAGTGGGTGAGTGAGTGGGTGAGTTTGTGGGTGAGTGTATGAGTAAGATGATGAGTGGGTGGGTGAGTGTGTGGGTGAGTGCGTGGGTGAGTGAGTGGGTGGGTGAGTGAGTGAGTGAGTGTGTGGGTGAGTGAGTGGATGAGTGTATGGGTGAGTGAGTGGATGAGTGTATGGGTGAGTGTGTGGGTGAGTGTGTGGGTGAGTGTGTGAGTGGATGAGTGAGTGTGTGAGTGAGTGGATGAGTGGGTGAGTGTGTGGGTGAGTGTGTGAGTGAGTGGATGAGTGGGTGAGTGTGTGGGTGAGTGTGTGGGTGAGTGTGAGTGGGTGAGTGTGTGGGTGAGTGTGTGAGTGAGTGTGTGAGTGAGTGGGTGAGTGTGTGAGTGAGTGTGTGGGTGAGTGGATGAGTGTGTGGGTGAGTGTGTGGGTGAGTGTGTGGGTGGATGAGTGTATGAATGAGTGTGTGAGTGAGTGGATGAGTGGGTGAGTGTGTGGGTGAGTGTGTGGGTGAGTGTGTGAGTGAGTGGATGTGTGGGTGAGTGTGTGGGTGAGTGTGTGAGTGAGTGGGTGAGTGAGTGGATGAGTGAGTGGGTGAGTGTGTGGGTGAGTGTGTGGGTGAGTGGATGAGTGGGTGAGTGAGTGGGTGAGTGTGTGAGTGAGTGGATGAGTGGGTGAGTGTGTGGGTGAGTGAGTGGATGAGTGAGTGGGTGAGTGTGTGGGTGAGTGAGTGGGTGGGTGAGTGAGTGGATGAGTGTGTGGGTGAGTGTGTGGGTGAGTGAGTGTGTGAGTGAGTGGGTGAGTGTGTGGGGGAGTGTGTGGGTGAGTGTGTGAGTGAGTGAGTGGGTGAGTGTGTGGGTGAGTGAGTGGGTGAGTGTGTGAGTGAGTGTGTGGGTGAGTGTGTGGGTGAGTGTGTGGGTGAGTGAGTGGGTGAGTGTGTGGGTGAGTGTGTGGGTGAGTGTGTGAGTGAGTGTGTGAGTGTGTGGGTGAGTGTGTGGGTGAGTGGGTGAGTGTGTGAGTGAGTGTGTGGGTGAGTGTGTGAGTGTGTGGGTGACGTTGATCGGCATGGATCCAGTGGTGGATTGTAATCTGAGATTCCACGTGGCTCCCGCAGGCTTCCCGATATAGGCGCGACTTGCCCACTCTGTGCGTGTCCCCTCGCCTTGCCAAGGGACATGGGCAGAGTCAGACAGAGACAGAGAGACAGAGAGAGAGACAGAGAGAGAGAGACAGAGAGAGAGACAGAGAGACAGAGAGAGAGACAGAGAGAGAGACAGAGACAGACAGAGACAGACAGAGAGACAGAGAGACAGAGAGACAGAGAGAGAGACAGAGAGACAGAGAGAGACAGAGAGACAGACAGAGAGACAGAGAGAGAGACAGAGAGAGACAGAGAGACAGAGAGAGAGACAGAGACAGACAGAGACAGACAGAGAGACAGAGAGACAGAGAGACAGACAGAGAGACAGAGAGAGAGACAGAGACAGACAGAGAGAGACAGAGTGGGTTGGTGAATGAGTGCATGAGGAAATGAGTTAGCGGGCCGGTGAGTGAGCGAATAGGTGAGTGAGTGAGTGTGTAAGTGTGTGTGAGTGTGTGAGTGTGTGTGAGTGTGTGTGTGAGTGAGTAAGTGTGTGAGTGAGTGTGTTTGTGAGTGAGTGTGTGTGTGTGAGTGAGTGTGTGTGTGAGTGAGTAAGTGTTTGTGAGTGTGTGTGTGAGTGAGTGTGTGAGTGAGTGTGTGTGAGTGAGTGTGTGAGTGAATGTGTGTGTGTGAGTGAGTGTGTGAGTGAGTGAGTGTGTGAGTGAGTGTGTGTGTGTGAGTGAGTGTGTGTGTGAGTGAGTGTGTGAGTGAGTGTGTGTGTGTGAGTGAGTGTGTGAGTGAGTAAGTGTGTGTGAGTGTGTGCGTGAGTGTGAGTCAGTGTGTGTGTGAGTGAGTGTGTGTGTGAGTGAGTGTGTGAGTGAGTGTGTGTGTGAGTGAGTGTGTGTGAGTGAGTGTGTGAGTGAGTGTGTGTGAGTGTGTGAGTGAGTGTGTGAGTGAGTGAGTGTGTGACTGAGTGAGTGTGTGAGTGAATGAGTGTATTATTCTGTGAGTGAGTGAGCGTATGAGTCTGTGAGTGAGTGTGTGAGTGAGTGTGTGACTGAGTGAGTGTGTGAGTGAGTGAGTGTGTGAGTGAGTGTGTGAGTGAGTAAGTGTGTGTGAGTGAGTGTGTGAGTGAGTGAGTGTGTGAGTGAGTGTGTGTGAGTGAGTGTATGAGTCTGTGAGTGAGTGTGGGACTAAGTGAGTGAGTGTGTGAGTGAGTGTGTGAGTGAGTGTGTGTGAGTATATGAGTGAGTGTGTGAGTGAGTGAGTGTGTGAGTGTGTGAGTGAGTGTGTGAGTGTGTGTGTGAGTGTGTGAGTGAGTGAGTGTGTGAGAAAGTGAGTGTGTGTGTGTGAATGAGTGAGTGTGTGTGTGAGTGAGTGTGTGAGTGTGTGATTGAGTGTGTGAGTGTGTGAGTGAGTGAGTGTGTGAGTGAGTGAGTGTGTGAGTGTGTGAGTGAGTGTGTGAGTGAGTGAGTGTGTGAGTGTGTGAGTGAGTGTGTGAGTGAGTGAGGGTATGAGTGAGTGGGTTAGTGTGTGAGTGAGTGATTGTGTGAGTGAGTGTGTGAGTGAGTGTGTGAGTGAGTGAGCGAGTGCGTAAGTGAGTGTGTGAGTGAGTGAGTGTGTGAATTAGTGTGTGAGCGAGTGAGTGAGTGTGTGAGTGTGTGAGTGAGTGTGTTAGTGTGTGAGTGAGTGAGTGTGTGAGTGAGTGAATGTGTGAGTGAGTGTGAGAGTGAGTGTGAGTGAGTATGTGAGTGAGTGTGTGAGTGAATTAGTGTGTGAGCGAGTGAGTGAGTGTGTGAGTGAGTGGGTGCGTGAGTGAGTTTGAGTGAGTGTGTGTGAGTGAGTGAGTGTGTGAGTGTGTGTGTGAGTGTGTGAGTGAGTGAGCGAGTGAGTGAGTGTGTGAGTGAGTGTGTGAGTGAGTGAATTAGTGTGTGAGCGAGTGAGTGAGTGTGTGAGAAAGTGAGTGTGTGTGTGTGAATGAGTGAGTGTGTGAGTGAGTGAGTGTGTGAGTGAGTGAGTGTGTGAGTGTGAGTGAGTATGTGAGTGAGTGTGTGAGTGAATTAGTGTGTGAGCGAGTGAGTTAGTGTGTGAGTGAGTGGGTGCGTGAGTGAGTTTGAGTGAGTGTGTGTGAGTGAGTGAGCGAGTGAGTGTGTGAGTGTGTGTGTGAGTGTGTGAGTGAGTGAGCGAGTGAGTGAGTGTGTGAGTGAGTGTGTGAGTGAGTGTGTGAGTGTGTTTGAGTGAGTGGGTGAGTGTGTGAGTGGGTGGGTGAGTGAGTGAGTGTGTGAGTGTGTTTGAGTGAGTGGGTGAGTGTGTGAGTGAGTGTGTGAGTGTGTGAGTGAGTGAGCGAGTGAGTGTGTGAGTGTGTGTG